TTCCTCGTACCTTCTCCGGGGAAAGATTCGATTTTTCGTTCGGATATACGGGGAATTATAAAGCAGCGGGAGCACGGAATATTGGATAGTTTCTCGATCGAGTTTTCTTTTTTTTTTTTTTTTTGTTTTTTTTTGTTTTGGAGAATTGATGTATTTTAAAACACAATCTCGTGCTCCGTTTTATTTCTCGTCGCTTGCTCGACACCGTCGAATTAGAGTGATTAATAATATAAAAAAAATTTGTGTCGCGGTGGCATCAAAAAGATTTCGACAACGCGGCGAATTGTTGATAGAACAGTTTCGAGGAATTTTTTTTTAATAGAACGAAAAATAGAGCTGTTGTTTTAAAATAAAGTCCAACGTGTCACCCAATGCTGCGAAATTAAAGATTAATATTTTTAAAATTTCATCTCGAGATAAGTTACCCAACAACGATATCTAATAAACCATACATTTCTCACACACGCGCGTTCCAATTTCACGATGGATTTACACGTACCGTATGAAATTTTCAGGGATCAGCATACTGTACCGTAAGCCTATAAAGCAGCCACCGAATCTCTTCTCATTCCTCAGCCCGCTCAGTCTCGATGTTTGGATTTATATGGCGACAGCTTATCTAGGCGTATCCGTGCTGCTCTTCATACTAGCCAGGCAAGTGAATCCATTTTACAAAGCTCTGATAAAAATATTCTACCGGCACCGGTGAAATTTCGTATACGAGAGAAATCTCTGAACCTTAATATGCTTCCATCCTCGTGTCCCGGGTATCCGATTTGCGAAATTTGCCAAAATTAAAATTTCACAAAATTTAACGCGAACGCTTATTTTCTCGCGCCATTATTAAATCCATCGAAGACAAATTTCGTTTAAAGAGAATACGCACTCTCGTAATCGCAATTTTCACGGAATCTTTTCTTTACGAATTACTTATTGTTTCAAACCAGATTCTCTTTGGAAAAAAAAAAAAATAAATCGTAGAGATTTCTGCTAGAAATCGCGTTTTTTCTTCTCTCTCTCTCTCTCTCTCTTTTCTTTTTCGTTTAACTTTCGCCGAGTACCTCTCTCGAAGAGTGGAGAGTCTAATTTCACGGTCGGCTGTTCGAGTCGAACACGATAGTCCGGTGACGCGAACAAAAGCAACGTAAGATCAGATACAGACACAAACGAGGGAAGAGAGACGTACACGTAGACGTACACGTGGTAGTCGTGGTGCATACGTAGTTACACACGCCGACTTGTCGCATTCCATTCGACCTCTTTTTCCCCGCTGTCGACGCGGTTAATCTTCATACGTAAATGGCGAACGAATCCCGTGGAAGATAGATGCGCGTCCGATCTGAAAAGGATTCAGACTGTTGTCTAGAGTTGATCAGTTTAGATTCACCCCGTACGAGTGGTACAATCCTCATCCGTGCAACAAAAACCCGGACCATCTGGAGAATCGCTTCAAGCTGCTCAACTGCATGTGGTTCACCATCGGATCCTTAATGCGGCAGGGCTCTGACATTCTGCCCAAGTAAGCCGTTAGATTGGCATCACGGTCGCTTCATCATTTCCTTTGTTTTTCTTCTTTTTCTTTCTTTCTTTTCTTTTTTGTCTCTCTCTCTCTTTCTCTTGTTTCGAGCCGTTTTACTTTCGACACACCTTCTCTCGAAATTTGTTCCAACTTGTGATTTCGTTGCGTACGAAAATCCCGAAATCGTCCTCCTCTCCGCCTTCGAGGCGGTCGATCTGTACGCATGCGAATCGGTATGTGATTTCGTAACGATTTACACGGAACGCACAGCCAACACCCAACAACACCCAAGCTCGCCTTGTCTTGCGAACGACCACGAATGGATGGATTATTCAACGAAACGATTTCGTTGGAATCGATGTTCAGATGTTCCATCGATCGTTTCGGGATGCGCGATGTTCGAGAGATCGATCGAGTCGCGGTGGGTAATATTTTCGTAGGGCGAGAAAAATCTTGAAAGTAATTCTAGAATATTTTAAAGAGTGTAACGAAAACGAAAAACGAGGAAATATAATGCGTTAAGAAGTAGAAGTCGAGTAAACTCGAAGTAAGAAGTCGAAGTAGTGGTGCTCGAATCTCTTTAGAACGGAAAAGTGGGAATGGAAAGTTTTCATTAAACGGGGAGGGGAAAAAATTCGATGTTCTCATTTCTAGGAGATTATATTGCGGAAGGAGATTGCGTAGATCGTAGATTGCGAGAAAGTTGGACAATTGTCGCGTAAGTTGTTCGAATACAATTTCGAATTTAGCCTCTCGTTACAGAACGTGCCTTACCCAGAACTTGAGATGAATATCGATTGACGAGGCAACGATCTTTAGACTCGTAATTACAATTCAAAGACGTAAAAAGAGGATGGCACGTAAGAAATTCTCTCTGAAAAGATACGTTTCTCCTTTTGTTAATATTATTCTATTCGCTAATTGCTCGTGAATTCGCGAATAACAACGTACTAATTACTGATAATATTATTTCACGGTAGTAATAATTAATTGTACACTCAACTCGATATTAATTTAACGCCGCGTTTATAATTTTAAAAAATTATAAGAAAAAATACACGCGATATTCTTCGAAGAAGAGAAAAGTAAAGTACGAGCCAAAAAAGGAAGAAGAATAAAAGCGATCTTCCGACGGTTTTCCTCGAAATTTTCTAGCATATCATCTGCAATTCAGAAGAAGAGAGAAAAAAAAATAATGGGATTGTTTGAAAAATTAAAAGATAGACAATGACGAATGGCGAACCGGTGCCGGAAGACCGATCGGACGCGACAAATTTCGGGGTCGCAAGCATTGATTGGGTGCTGCTCGAATGGTATTTCGCGCGCGTGCTGAGACTCTGAGGTCTAATCCTCTCCCTTCTCCTTTCACGTGTGTGCAGGTTCAGCCCCTACGAGTGGGAGAATCCCCATCCGTGCAACGGACAATCCGAGGTCCTCGAGAACGAGTTCACCCTGATGAACTCGCTCTGGTTCACCATAGGCTCGCTCATGCAGCAAGGCTCTGATATAGCGCCGAAGTAAGTGAAACGAAGAAAACACGAAGAAAAACCAGCCTTAGCAACGTAATGTTTATCTCTTTGTATTTACGTTTCGTGTTTACAGTCGTTCGATCGATCGTTCCGTTCGATTCGTCGTAGAAACATTATTATTACGAAACTAACGAAGGTTTTAACAAAAATAACGATTCTCGAAACGTTATTTCGATATAATTAATCGTTTATAATCGTGGAAATTGCCCTGGATCGCGAGATTACGAGCTTGAATCAATTTTGAAAATATCATTTAGATTGAGCTGGATCGCGACGCACCCTTCCTGCTCGAAATTCGACCCGAAATTGAAACACGAGCGACAGTTCGACTCGATTCGGCAACAATCGGGAGCGATCGGTCAAAGAGTTCGAAATTCAGCCGATCGTATTCGATCATTGCCGACTCCGTCCGAAGACAGCCGCTCGCGTTTCTATTTCGTATCGAGTATCGAGCAGAGAACGAGAGAGATACGAATTTGCCCGAATTTTCCCGAACTATTCCGAAGTTCGAATACGCGGAACGATTCACGGAACATTTCTTTTTCAATCGCAATCGTGGTTCACTTTGCAAGACAATAGAAGTTTAGACGAGATTCGGGGCCGTAGATGCTACCTGGAACGTTACGTAACGATAGCCTGGATATGCTATATCGTAGGCTTGCTGCAACCGATCACGAAACTTGCCGCCGTGCTTTGCTATCATTTTAGTGTTACGTGTCGTCGACGAAAACGATTATCATGACGATGATGACGACGGCGACGTTTCGTTTAGTACAAGTTGTTGCTTCTCTGCTCTACGAAGCGAAACTAACATTCGCCGAGTAAATTCGTCTGAAAGAGCTGATGAATTGGTTATCGACCAAATCACGATTTGGCATTAATCGAAATCGGTGATTCTGATCGCAACGATCAATGCGTTCCTTCGGAACGATTTTGAATCGATAGATAATAGTAAAATAGAAATTAGATCGGGATAAACATTTTAGAGCAGCAACAACTTCGTTTCATTCATCATCCAATACTTTCACCGTTCGTTCGGTGAGAGATCATCTTTCGTTTTCTGTATATTTATTCCTACGATACGGCCCCTATCCTCGAAACGATTAATGTAGTTTCTTTTTTTTTTTTTCTACATTTGCACTTAATTATTGTTACGCATACACTAGAACCGAACAAAAGTTTATTTAAAATGCATGAAATCGTTGTAGTTTGATGTAGAACGCTTGATGTATTTATTTTGTTTCGATGTATAATTTAGATAAAATAGATACTCGTCTAGATACTCGTGCTCGATTTCATCTCGATGACATTATCGCGATATTTCGAAAAACACGATTACGAAGTAGGATAGAGATGAAATCACTTTGTTGTGTTTCGAAATCTGTTCGTGCATATACGAGTAATACGTTATTTCCACTTGACAATCGATCCGTTCGATAAAAGCGACACTCGGACGAATCACGTTCGGAGAAATCGAGATTCGATCTTCGAGCAAATACACGGTTGTTTTAAATTCATATCGGAGAAACGCGTTTCCGATTGACCCCGCGTCTCCGAAGGAAAATTCCGACTGCACCGGCTGAATTCTCGTTCCCAGGGCCGTGTCAACGCGGATAGTGGCGGGTATGTGGTGGTTCTTCACTTTGATCATGATTTCTTCGTACACTGCCAACTTGGCCGCGTTCCTCACCGTCGAGAGGATGGATTCGCCGATCGAGAGCGCCGAGGATCTTGCAAAGCAGACGAAAATCAAATACGGAGCTCTCAAAGGAGGCAGCACCGCGGCCTTTTTCAGGGTAAGATCGGATGAATAACTCACCAGAGCTTTCACAGACGACCACGTCTAATCGTTTTTATGAATACGCTGCCGCTCGTGAATATTCCGATACTACTTCACGTACACTCCACTTCGTAATGACGATTTGTGAATTGTATTACGTAGAGAGAACGCGTGGAAAGGATCGTAGAATAAAGTTTACGTAATTTTTTTACATAATCGTACAATATTTTAATCGTACAATATTCGTTAAATTTGGATACTTTCGAGCGGTATGTGTGTGCACACGTGCAGCCCTATTTCCATTTAGCAACGAACGTGCGTACCACGTATCAAGGTAGCGCGTTAAGAACGTGGAAATTGTATCGGCAAATGCCCCACGGGCGGAGGAACGGTAGTTTCGCGAGAAACGAGAAGAAACGCGTTGGAGGAAGAGCGCGTTGCTCGAGGAAACATGGCGGCCATTACTTAACGTTAATTCCCGTTTAATTTCGGTATTATGAAACTTTATTACAACGGATTACACCGAAGGAGGGAAAAGAACGGAAGCGCCCCTCGTTTATATAAATTTGTTCCCTTAACTTTTTATTAACTCGTCTTTGCCTAAAAACTAAAAAGAAAACAATAAACGTAATAATAAACTTCTTCCTCCTACTGAATATCACTTCAAGAAGAAACGATTTTTCAAAATTATCTCTCTCCCTTTAATCGAAATAAATAAATACGGTTAATCTTCGAGGAAGGGCGAGCAGCGAATTTCTATAATCGTATCGATCGTTGCGGGGGACGAGGGACGTGATTTCGCAGGGAGGCGGCTGAAGGGGGCGGTTGCGTAATAGGCCTCCTTGAAGATTAACCAATTTCGACGTTCCATCGTTTAATGGCACGCGTGCTCGACCATGAAATTCCTCGCGTGATCTAGGATTCCAATTTCTCGACGTACCAGCGCATGTGGTCCTTCATGGATTCGGCAAAGCCGTCGGTATTTACAACGAGCAACGTCGAGGGTATGGAACGAGTGATCAAGGGTAAAGGCAGTTACGCGTTCCTAATGGAATCCACCTCCATCGAATACGTAATCGAGAGAAACTGTGATCTTACCCAAATCGGTGGCCTCTTGGACTCGAAGGGATACGGGATAGCCATGCCCCCGAGTAAGTAATTAACCTATCTCGCCGGCGTGTATAAACAGCCAGACGTTTACGAAATCGTTGGACGGACGGACTGTTAGCCGATTAAAGCGCGGTCGGGCTGGTTCACGAGAGGAGATAGAGCTATTTCGGCCGATCAACGCGTATATTCGTGATTTATGGTCAGCTCGTAAACGGCGTCGAATCGGAAAGATTATTTTTCACGCTTCGTTCCCTCGATTTATAGGGGAATTGGAAAGATATTCAGTCGGTCAGCATTCGTCGTTCGAGGTTTATGGTAAATATAACGAAAAACGAGTGAGCAATAATAGTAGTTGTTAATGGATTTTCGAAAGGAGTTTTGACAGATCGCGATTTTCTTAGAAATCTTAGAAATCTGATTCGATTGTTTGTTCGTGGATGCAAACGTTCTCTCGAAAATTCGAGAAACTTTCCTTCGAGCTTCGATCCTTATTGCAAGAAAATCCAATAGAATTCGAGAATCGATCGAAATCGAACGGCCTCGCGGGAACGATAAAACGGAGGAAACTTGGCGAAAAGTTT